ATTAATTATTGAAAAATTGCAAATAGTATTATAAAAACTGCTTATACTATCTGATAGAAGACAGTTTTCAGTTTGTAATTACGTTTTTAAAGTTTTATTTTTACCTTTTGTTTAAGAAATATTGTCTAAAAACAAAGTGGTATGACGGTATAGGCGATTTTCCTCTATTACTATCTTTACTTGGAAATGAATTACTAATAAATTCCGAAAATAATTCGGAAATCCAGACAACGTAGAGTATCGGAGCAGTATATTAGGAAATCCACAGCTCATAGCAATCGGACTTTGTCTAATGTAAAAAATAAAACAAATCGAATACCGTGATTAAGTTCTTGCATTTGAAAGGTAAGTTAAAGCCGAGTCGGACGCTATTTATCGGATTCTGTCCCATCGTATTACCTTCCAAATGTAAGAACTTAATCAAGGCACGATAACATTTTTTCCATTTTTACAAAAACACTGACATTGACTGGTACAAATGATTGTCAAACAATAACTGAGTGTCGACAATGGCTATAATCTTCATGGGTATCTTTCAAAGCATGAATGTAGTACCAGAATGGTTTTGACGAATAATGCCATCTTCATGTTGAGGTTTAAAACTTTTCAAACGACCATCGTATATGAACTTCCATGTACTAACGATTTAAGATTAAATTCGCCAATCCCATTTGTTCCACAGTTAATTGGAACATACCAGTATTTCCAATGAAGAGTGTGATTAGGATATACCTAGAAATTCAAGTGACTTTGGAATATATTCGCTTTTACAGACAATAGTTATAGTTTGGCCAAATGTGAATTTCAAGGTGTGTATAAATTTAGTTATATCTAGCTATCCATTGCACAAAACAGCATGGCCAAATATGTGCCAACTCTTATTGGAACTTATTTGAGATTTAGTGCAGGGTTGTTAACTCGCGGACTTTACTTGCGTCCATAACATATATAAATATAAGTAAACATGTATTATAACATGTCATAAAAATTTATTATATTTCATTATTTGGGTTATTTCATTATTAGACTGCAAATGTGGACAACATAATAAATCTTTAATGATGAAAAGCAAGAATTCTTAACATTAATAATTATGGCAATAGAAAGAATAATCTTTAGAATTATATGTAATACTTTTTGCCGATTATATTTCAAACAGTCATTACATGATGTTGCGATCATAGCTATGTCGACCTTTTATCTCATAAATATATCTGTTTAAAATGCGTACACTTGCAATTTCTTCTGCATATATTTACCTTTCATTATTGTTTTTAGTATAAGAGACATAACGTAAAGGCATTTTTTTTATTGTGCAAATGCTATTTATGTTGCAGTTGAACCACTTGTAAAACGCACTAGTGCGTCAGTCTGTCATATAGCGTTGCAAGAATCGCATATCATCGAAGATATATAGTACGCACAGTAAGTAGTGCAGAAATACGAATTAACCCATTATCTTTTCGGATTTAGAGATATCGGATTTTTGAATTAGTGGAAGAGACTCAATTAGCAATTCAAAAAACAAAGAATACATATTATAAAGAAAGACAATAAAAATGCCAAATGTATAATAAACATCCATAAGTATATAAAAGATTTATATAAAAAATAGTAATCAATTTTAAAAGATAGTAAAAAATAAAGTTATAATTTGACATTAACTTTTAAATTTATGGAAAAAATATATCATCGTTCTGTTTTATTTTATCTTTAAAAAAATATCAATATATAGTTGTACTAATATAGCTATACTAATATATCCGTATTATTATCAGATTATTATAGAATATACTAGATGACTTATATACTAGACGATATACTATTAATTAATAGTACTTGATATATTTTCTCATTTAATTTATCTTTATATACATATAATATAATTATTATATATTATTTTTTATATACATATAGTAGTTCTTTATATACATACAATTATAAAAAATTCTATTAAAGTAACTGCTTTTTATGATTATATGATATCATATATGTAATTATAAAATAATTTTATAAGTTTATTTTTACATTCAAATATTTTCCCAATATAAACAAAACGAATATGCTACATAAACGTGTTTGACAAAAGTATTAACATTTGAGTCTTTTCCTTTCAAAATAAAATTCTACTTACGAACTATATTTTACAATTAGCTATTTCTATAACAATAATTGCTCAACCGATAATTGCTTTATGGATAATTGCTAAAATAATTAATTCTTCGAGCTTATCAGTTATACTATAAGTAAGGACAATCATTTGTACAGTTTAAAGAGGTAGAATATATAGAGATATCTAAAAAATTACAAATAGAACGTATACTTAAAAAATTAGAAATATTGAAGAATACATTTATTTTTGATACTGCGTTCTATTAAACAGTGTGCTATTCCTTATCTTGTATGAACGACAAATTTAATTTTTAATTGTTGTTTATATCAAAAAAGAATAATTTTGAAAATGATCCTACATTAAAATTGGTGTATCACGTTTTTTTGAAACCTCTTTTCAAAGGGGTGTTGGAGTACTCCGATTTCGATGTGGCTTCGTATTTAGGGGTCGCTCGTTCCGAAATCGTGATCAAAATTTCGAAATTCAAAATGGCTGAACCAATATGACGGACGGAAATGTTACGGAAATCTAAAAGGTTCTTTAATTTTGGTGAAATTTGATAGGAAGGTAAGGTTGTATTTAGGGAAATGTTGGTGGAGGTAGTATGGAGGGAGAGGAAGGGGAACGAGAATACGAAGGAAACGGAAGGAAGAATAAGGGAAGTTTGGGAAATATAGAAAAGGAAAGGAGTAAGGAAAGGAAAGGAATGGGATGGTGGAATAGGGAGAGGAGGTAAGGAACTATAGGGCGGTGTCGATAATGCCGTCATTATATAAGATATATACGGCAGCATTGAGGGAGGAGGTGGAAGGGAAGAGGTTAATTTCACCGAATCAGACGGGTTTCAGAAAGGGATTGAGGACGTTGGATGACATATACGTGTTGAATTTTCTAATAAATAGGCGCAGGTAAAGAAAAAAGGGGGAAAACTGATAGTTTTATTTGTGGATTTGAAAACGGCATTTGATTTGGTGGACTCAGGTAAAGAAAAAAGGGGGAAAACTGATAGTTTTATTTGTGGATTTGAAAGCGGCATTTGATTTGGTGGATGAAAAAATTATGAAAAAATTATGGAATAATGCGCTATTTATGCGCTACCCATTTCCGCAAAAAAAAATTTTTGCCCTCATTCCGTTGAGCTAAAAAAAATTTTTTTGTGGCGGGGCCGAGTAGGCAGTCGGTCAACCCCCCACACGTTAAAACAACCGATTTGGAAAATCGGAGCAGACGTGAGCAAGCGAAAAAAAAAATTCAATTGCTAGCTTTTCCAGATTATCACAATAAGAACATTGAATGTATGATTAATGTATTACTTTCTAATGGTTGTCCGTTGGATGTAATTTTTTCGACGATTAATAACAGAATAAAAAAGTTATCTAGGAGAAAGAATGTATATATAAATGATGAAATTAAGAATAACGATATGGATGATAGCAATGTAGGAGAAAAATACTTCACAATACCATACATTAAACAAATCTCCGAAAAATTTAAAAGTATCGCTGAGAAAAATAAGTATAAAATAGCATATAAACCGATGAATTATTTGAACTCTGTTATAAAATTAGAAAAAGATAAATTAGAAAAAATGGAACAATGTGAGGTGGTTTATAAAATAAATTGTTCAGAATGTGATTCGTCGTCAAACCATACAATGTAGGTCAAACCAAAAGAAAGGTGAAAACGAGAATAAAGGAACATATGACCGATATAAAAAAATCAAAAGGTTTAAGATCAGTAATCTCAGATCATTAGATAGAAAGTGGTCACACAATGAATTGGGAGAACGTTCAAATTTTAAATTCAGAACCATTTTTGCATAAAAGACTAACGTCGGAAATGATCTTCATAAAAAACAAATTATTGGATTAAACAAACAGAATGATACTGATAGATTGCCAGAGTCATATTTGCCTTTTCTAAATATTAACACAGCAAGATAATGAACTGCCCTTTCTGCTGTTCTTTAGGTTGGAAACAGAGATACATATAAGTTAGATGTCACGAGTATAGTAGTCATGTGTTGACGTGTACATATATGTTATGAGAAGTTGTCTGCCTGTTGAGAATAGTTTTTGGGATTTGCAATGTAACACGGGTAAAAATTATAATTTAGACGATTTCAATAAGATATAGAATATTTTTTTAATAGACTTGATATTTACCAGAAATTGACAATTTGTGTTCCTTGTAATAATTAAAAACAAAATGGATGAAAACCGACTGAGAATAGCAATAAATAGAATACACAGGTAGTAAATTAATCATGTGAACCAAATATTAATTGCCAGAATGTTCTTATTAAATTATGTTAATCAAATATCAATTGTTCAAATTTTAGAATCATGTAATTTTGTGTGTAATAAGGAAAATTTGGAAGCACATAACTAAAAGTAAAAATCAAGTTATTTAGATCATAAAACGAAATAAATGTGGATGACCTACACATTTTTTGATAAATTAGCTACAAAGAATAAATTAGTTTTAACGAGCGTTTTAGCGTTATGTTTTTTTAGATATAGTTAGATTGAGTCTTTTTATACAACAATGTAATTTGAGAACGTATAGAATAGTTAAGTATAAGATTTTTTGTAATACTGAAGATGGTCTAATGTAAGACCGAAACGTTTATTATTTGTACCAAACATAAATTTATAATAATCGCTACTGACACCTTGCGTTTGTGGTTTATGCCTTTCAAACAAAACTTTGTGTTAACCCTTACCGTACCATCTACAATTTGGTGCCTCATCCATACCATCAAGGGTCATTTCAAATCTCTTCGTTTTTTTACCTCTTCAAAATAATTTTAAAAATCTCTAAAAATTCACCAACATACTTTCAACTTTCTAGAGTAAATATTGACTCTTTATTTTGAAAAATAATAAAATATAGTATAATTTATAATTACCGAAAGACTCATTAGAAACATTCGTAAACAACACACAATCTCATCTTTCATCGCTTATTTAAGTTTAACATCGATAATTTAACTAAAATATTTTAAAATCGATTTTAACATAACATTTTAATAGATATTTAATTAAAACTCTACATTATTATGTATTATTATGAAATCGATTTTAACAACTAACGTTTTTCACGTTAACACCCAGTGCAGGCTTATATTCTCCTTGTTAACTATATTATTTTAATTATTGATTTGAAAAAAAAAGTTGACAATTATTTGTTATAATTATTTGTTAATAGCGTGAAGCAGATTTTTTTAATTTTCGATCGAATAATTTGAAAACAAAGATGGAGCCAAATATTTTAAGCACAGATTCAAAAACTCTCACGGAGAAAGATTTACAAAATGAGGAATCTTCGATTACTACAAAGACGATAGATGAAAATGACAAACAAAACAGAAGCGAGAGCTATATAAAAACTGAAGGCTGGTTCAGGACGGAGCCCAAATGGTTTAACATCGCAAATATTAGTTTTTTCCACTTATGCTTCGTATATGCCTGTTTTACTTTTAACTTTTTCGAAAATCTGATGACGACTGCTTGGAGTAAGTATTCTTTACAAAATTCTTTCATTAATTTGATTTCTTGATATTGTAAAAAAACTACATAATAAAAAAGTAAAATTTTGTACAAGATTGTCAACGAATTAATCATTAAAATTGTAATGCACGTTTATAAAAAATGCTACAGTCGTTTTTAATTTTCTGACAGCTGCAGATTTAAACACAATTGATTAGACTCACGCGATTGAAGAGAGCACGCAATAGAAGCTTAACAATAAGCCAGTAAATTGCTGTTAAAAATTTCTCATTTCTATTGTACCTTATCAATTATGTCATAAATCATTTTGAATTGTCAAATCAGTAAAATCCATACTACTTACATGGTGCTCTTGAGAAATACGGATTATTATTCACAACTTTAAAGCATTTCTAGTGTTCTAATTGCGTTCGATCTTTTTTGTTTCAAGTATATGGCATGATTATAATAGCAGGCTTTGGCGTCACCGGCGGTGTTCATCGTTTTTGGACTCATCAATCTTATAAAGCAAAATGGCAGCTTAGAACTATACTTGCCACCTGCTATGCTGCGGCTGGCATGGTAAATGAACGTTTATAATTACCGTTTTATACGTTGCAAGACGGAAGAATTTTTTTTTACAATTGTATCCTTTTAGAATGACATATTCGAATGGGTGCGAGATCATCGGGTGCACCACAAATATACTGATACGAATGCGGATCCGCATAACAGTAACCGAGGATTCTTTTTTTCCCATGTGGGTTGGTTGATGATGAAGAAACATCCGGATGTGATCCGAAAGGGTTGTGAGATCGATATGAGCGATGTATTGGCTGATCCTATTGCTGTATTTTCTATCAAGTAAGTTTGTGCAGGGAGTTATATAAGTTATACGAAATAGTTTTATATTGAAAAAGACAAAAGAACATAAGAAGAAAGAAAGGTATCATGAAAATGTTTTCCTTCATCTCAACTTCCCCGAACATGGGACATTAATGAAATTATATAACCAAATCTTGTACAAAATTTGTAACTTGCATTTATAGGGGTATATTTTCAAAAACAGATAGAAACTCTAATATCTTCTAAAATGTTGATAATTTTTGTGCTAGATTCCGTCATATATTTTCATAAATGTTGTCCTATAGGAGTTTGATTCATTTTGAAAATGTATATTTAGTATTCCGATATTTTTTGCAGCCTCTCCTGGTGAAAATTTTTCTCATAATTTGTATACAAATTGAAACATTTTTCAGAAATACTCAGAAATATTCGGAAAGTTTACATCTTCTCTCAGAATTTTTTACGAATGGATTCTGAAATATTTTGAAATTTCTCATCCTATAATTTAAAAAAAGTATTTAAAAAATTTTTAGATTTTATAACATTTCATCAGAAATTATATTTACAAAAAATCTTAGGAATCTTACAATATTTCATAATTAACATGGAAAAATTCTGAAAAAAGATGTAGATTTTCTGAGAAGTGTTCCAATTCGTATAAAAAATGTGAAAAAGTGTTATAAAAAAAAAATTATATAGAAATTCTAAAAAATTATATGAAAAAATCTGAGAAAAATTTTCACCAGGATCCTTTAGAAAATCTTTTATATAAATTTTTTTGCGTAAGATATAAAACAGTGATGAAAACTATACACCGTAATTAATTAATCCTATTTTTCAGATATTCTCCGATATTAAAATTTATATTCGCTTTCCTGCTTCCGGTGATGTTGCCTGTATATGCATGGAATGAGACTTGGTCTAGAGCTTTTGTATCGCAGATTTTTATTCGTTATATCTTGGTTTTAAATTTCACATGGAGCGTCAACAGTGTGGCTCATATCTGGGGCTCAAAGCCATATGATGAGTAAGCAAATAATTAATATCAAAATTATTCACATATAATAAATTTGATCCAAAAAATCTAAAGCTTTTACCATTTTGTATCGCCTAAAAATAATTTTGTCTTGTTTATTTTAACGACAGGCACTTAAATGCAACGGAAAACCTATTCGTCAATTGTGCTACGGTCGGTGAAGGATCGCATAATTATCATCATGTTTTCCCGTGGGACTACAAGGCTTCCGAGTTTCACGATTTCGTAACCACAAATATAATTAAGTTTTTTTCGAAAATCGGCTGGGCGTATGATCTCAAAGAAGCGTCGGAGAAGCTTATAAAGACCGTTGCGATCAATAGAGGTGATGGAAGCCATTCTTTGTGGAAAGCTGTACCATATCCAGCTAGTAAAATTGAATAATAAAAATAACAGAGAGTTGTCTCATGCTGGTAGCGAGTTTTTTGGATCAGTTAACAACAAATGTACGCGATTAGGATAATTTATTTAAATTTATTTAAAATAATTTATTAAGTTAATAATGTTGTTATAATAATATAATATAATAACAATGTTAAAATATAAACATGTTTTTTATACTCGCCAGTAGCACATGTTGGTTTTATGTATGTTTCCTAAACGCTTGTAGAACATTACATACGTTCAGGAAACGTCTAAAATGTATATGAACCAATAGATGCTACTTGGGCTGTAATAATTCAGTAGAAGTAGAGATATTGTTGTGTATATATATATATAATAAATTGAAACTTTTAGAAGTAGCTTAAAAATACAAAATATAAACAATAAGGAGCATATATATAGCCACGGCACTAGATGTTTTTAGCGAAAGTCATATATTTCAAATTATAATAAGGAAAAATAGATGTTTTTTGGTCAATATTTGACCATCATCAGTAATACATAAAAGAATGTCACAAAAAATAAAAAATACTTGACAATAAATCGATAGTCTAGAATAGATGGTGACAAAATTTAACATTCGCTTATGTAACGAGTTGATACAATCCAGTCCAAGATTTAAAAAGCCAAATTACAGTCACATACGAAACGAATTTGTTTTGCAAAATAGAGTCTTTTTCTAGAAGTTATTTCCGACTTCGAGTGTGAAATACGTAATTCCCAGATTCTAACTAAAATTCGAAAAAAAAACAAATATATAATGTTTCCTATCAATACATTGTTAATAATAAGAAGAATCGGTTTAGATTACTAATCGAAATCGCTTACCACGTATTTAGTGACACAAGTCGTCGAAAAAGTGAATTCGCAGATATAGTGTACAATTAAACCAAGTCCTGGCCACAATTTGGAAAGAACTATTCTTGATAAAAATGTAATGACAACGTAGCAAGCGACAGTCTTTATAAAATTGTGTAAGGAAAGGAGAGTAAAGGGGAAAAAACTATTGGTGAGTAGAGGGGATATTTTTAAAGATAGGAAGGGGTAGATTTCAGGAAAGCGTTCTGTATCACTCTGCTTATTTAAATCTATTTTTTGTCTTTTGATATATATCATCTCTGAGACCAACCTTTTATAAAAAGATTGTTCGGAATCAAGAATAATAGTATTATCCCAATCCATCCTATGATTATGATCTAGCGTGTGACGAGATATAACAGACAAATCGTTCGATGGTTTTTTAGGATCATTTTTATGTTCTTTTAAACGTGTATTAAATGTTCTCTTTTTTGTCTGTCCTACATACGAATAGTTGCAACCGTGGCAGTTTATTTTATACACCACATTAGAGTGATCTCCTTTTTTAATTTTTCCTTGCCAGTTTTGATCAAGGTCTTCAAACTATTCGTTGGTTTGTGCGTGATATTAAAGTCAAATTTTTGTGTAATGAATTTAAATTTTTTAGAAATTTTGTTGAAGTAAGGAATAGTAAAAAATTTTTTAGTATTATCAGTGGTATCCGAGATGACATTATCTTTATGATCCTTGACATTATCAAAATTATTTTTAAAAGACAACGCTTTAATCCTGTTATTAATAGTTGAGAACAAAAAATTCAATGGGTATCCATTTTCTTGAAAAATATTAATTAATAAAGTAATATTTTTCTCATGAAATTTAGGATGGGAGAGGAATAAGAGACCCTGTCCAACTACCCAATTACAACACTCTTCTTGTGTTCTAAAGGACGATTTGAAAAAAAATTCAAATATCTGCCAGAATTAGTAGTCTTTTTATAATTGTTAAAAATAATTCTTCCTTCTTCTATTAGTAATCTTACATCAAGAAAATTTATTCCTCTATCATCGCCAAATTCGACAGTAAATTTAATTCTTTCATGGTAAAAATTGAAAGAACAAAGAATAGTATTAAGTTCAAGTGATTGTAAAATGGTGTATGCGTGTACATATGTAGTATACATAAAAAAAAATACATTAAAAATCCAGCTTTGACCATTATGGGCTTTTATTTTCTATTTTCTATTGGTTGTGCTTTGGACATGTACGGTCCAATAAAGATTCTTATTATTCATAAAATATTTTTATTCAAAATATTTTTTTATATTTTTTATTACTTCGAAGATATTCGCATAGACATAAACGTCGATTTTTTTTTCAAGGAAGTTCCAGAATCAGCGTAATGGCAAAAAAAATGTCGAATGGAGTGTTCGTATCTTATCGATCAATTTTCCCTCGAAAGCGATCCAAGAATATCTCAGCGTGTAAAAAGATAGAACTCAATATTTACATCCGTCGGTTCTGCCGGTAGCGCATGCGAAATTACGAGAGACAGTATGGTGACATTGCGCATTAGCTATCTCTATCGGTCTCGCGAATTAAGACAATCCTCGCCCTTTGTCTGACTGCGCGACTGCGCGAGTGACCGAATATGTGCTTTCACGCACTTCCCTTAGGAGGAAGACCCGGCTTGAAGATATCTCGCTATAACGATGATCGATTGGTACTTGGAGACCCAGGAGCGTAAGTTATTCTCAGTGAACACGGCGTTTGCAAGACTTTCATTTTCAACGTTTGTGTATGTATACGTGTATTTTGCTTCATAACGAAAAAATGCGAAGCGGTCTCTTTTCGTAATCCGTGAAACCACGACATCTTTGATTCAATGTAGATCCTCAACGGTGAACTCTCCAATATCGACATTGTACCGAGGGTGAGTGCCTCGTGCGTCCGCGAACGTAATTTGGTCGCTGCGGATCGAATTGTATCGTTTTCGCGTCAAGATTTTCGTCGTACCTGGAGGCAACACTGGTTCTGAGGAAGGTCTTTATTGGTCGCAATAATTCGCAGCATTTATGACCAAACCGAAGATTTCTACTCGCATTTTGATTCGAGATCTCAGGCTGTCCGCCGTTTCGAAGTGTAATGCAGATTCCATATTGTTAAAAAAAAGGAAATTGTGAAAGTGATTTCTCAAGCCCGACTCTTATCGCTGCTCTTCCCTCTATTTCCCATTCTTTCTTGAGCGCGCATCAGTTCTCGCGAAACAATCGATTCGTAACAAAAGTGTTTCCACCCCTAAAATCGAATATAAACAGTTTAAAAGAATTGTAATTAGGTCCATCTATTCTAAACTTATGCAAAAAGTTTCAAATTCTTTTTTATTTTACATTTGCCGACTTTCTTTGTGAGTAAACAAACCTGTGTAATTTATAGTATTTATATTTCTCGCTGCATCACGACTGACGCTTATAAATCATTATCTCATAGATCATACAAAGCAAAGTAGCTTGTGAGATTTAACCTTACAATGTTTTAGATTATTGTTTTTTAAGTAATTTTGGCGTTAACTTTTCTTCTCTCGCTAAAGTATCGCATAAGATGACATATCTAAATAAACTAGAAAAGACGAAGTTCTACATTTTCATTTTTCAAAATTTAAAATTTTCAGTGCATTACATTTTTTAAAATGATACTTACAAACGAGTAAGGAAATACTGAGTGAGTGACACACAAATTGACGCGAATTCGTATAACGTACACACAAAGGATTCTTATTTTCGCATATCGATTAGCTTCTGGTTCATAAACCTCTCGATGTCGCGGTCAGAGGTCAGAGGTACTACAGATGCGTGATTGCAGTAATCGGAACATAGATGCATTCATGGTATTTCAAAGTGTGACGAAAATAATTTATTATCGCGGGAGTAAGATCTAGCTAATTATATATGTGTGATAATTTAAACAATATTAAGAATCGTTATTTTAGACCGCATATGTGAGAAACACAATCAATACTAGAAATTTAAAATGCCTATTACGAAGCTGGATCTTTATTGTTTTAAATAATTTAATTTTGAATTACTAATACACACTATATATGTACTTGCATATATACCATATTGTAGTCTTTTCAAACTGCGCGCCGAATTGTTTTTCCGGACTTATAAACGCAATTAAAACTATTCTAGTAATCGCGAAATAAATTGACAAGCAATTTTAATAATTTGATGCTACCATCAAATATCATGTTATAAAGATGTTAATATGTTGAAACTATTAATACATTTTTTGCAAAAAATATTACGTCCTAGCTCGTACAGAATACAAAAGATCCGGGTTCAAGTCTCGGCCGAGGTAATATTTTTCGCAATAAATTTATTAGCAGTTTCAACATATTAACATTTTTATAATATGATGCTTGATAATATTTTTAAATTATTAAATTGCTTGTCAATTTAATTCGCGATTACTAGAGTAGTTTTAATTGCGTTTATAAGTCCGGAAAAACAATTCGGCGCGCAGTTTGAAAAGACTACAATATGATATATATGCAAGTACATATATAGTGCATATATTAGTAATTTAAGATTTAATTATTCAAAGCAATGAAGATCCAGCTTCGACCGTAATAGGCATTTTAAATTTCTAGTGTGGCGACTCGCCACTAGATGTCCACGGGACTCACTCGGTTCGCGTAAGCGCCTCACCGCGCGAATTTTCCTTTAAATAGAATATCATTCTGGATTCATTCCAGGCGTCTAAGGCAAGTCCCCCACTACATCGTCTTACTGATGAGTCTAGTAGTGTGGGACCAAGACGAAACGCTGCGGCCGACTCCGAAGCTTCGAGTCAGGCCTTCTTGGTGGACATATCCACACTAGTATTGATTGTGATAATTTAGTTGCTACCAAACTATACAGCACGACATCAAATATAATGTAGGGGAGACCGGGGCCGATTGTCATAGTTTTTGATTATTGATTTTTAGAAAAAAGCGGATGCCTGATTTTGAAATATTATATACGTTACAATATACCTACATCCTTTAGGTATTTAAAAAAATATTACTCGTGAATTTATCATATCATAAAAATAAGTTATTTAATTTTAAATGATGCTTCGAAAATATGACAATTAACCCAGCGTTCTTGGTTGATTGTCACACGTTCTAGGATTGGCAGTAGCATATTTGTTATGGACAACACATATAAAAAACACAATTTTTATTTTAATATCAGTTCTATATTTTGAGAAATAATAGTA